TTTTTTTGGACCTTATATTTATTTTAGTGGACTTGTATTGTATCTTTATCGTAAAGTATTATCCTAAAATGTCAAAAGGGCGAATAAAAAAATATGCCTTAGTTTATTGTGATTTTACTTTTATTTTGTTGGTATTGAAATTTATAGTAAATATATTTAGTTTGTTTTAGATTTATTTCTAGTAAGATATAAATATATATTGAATTAATGGCATAAAAGTAGATACTAGATAAGAAAAAAATATACGCGAAACCGGCGGTTTAAAACCGGACCAAACCGTTAGGTTTAGGGTTGAGTTTTTTCCAAACCGGTCCAAACGGTTTGGTTTAGGTTTGAGTTTTTCTCAAACCGGTCAAAACCGTTTGGTTTGAAAATTTGTCAAAAATCGCAAAAATCGGACCGCGTACACCCCTAGTCTCATTTTTATATTTGTGCATTCGTATATTGATAAATAAATAGGAAGTTCGACAAATTTTGATTGGACAAATTGACATAACCTTAAGGATCAATGGAGAAAGAAGATATAAAAGCATCAAATAATTGGAGGATCACTAATTTAATAATAAATTATATTATTATTAGTCTTTGGTTGGAAACATCACAACTCACATTAGGGTTAATTAATTAATTAATTAAACAAGAATATGTTATCCATTTAATTATAATTTTCATTAAGATAACAATTATTTTAACTTATAATTAGCTTTTTAAAAAGAAAAGACAGCCTGTTAATATATAAGCGCGAGGGCATTAACCCTATAAAGATGCTAAAGGAGAATATTAATTTGCTAGCTTCTTCAATTTTACATAAACAAAGCTAGGTAAGTGACCTTTGCCTTTTTCTTTCTACTTCATTTGATCACCACCACAATAATACAATAAACTACATTTTAAATAAATTTAAAATTATATACCTAAGTTCTTTTTAATTATTATTCATTATTGTAACCACTGAAAGTTGCACTTCAACCAAAATAACCATATTATTTTCGCTCCGCATCTTTCGATGTTTTCTATTGATAATGCGTGAAGAAAATCTCTTTAAATTATACATATTCGCACGTCTCGATTTCTATGTCATCTTTTCTCGATGAAATTCCAATGAAATTAAATATTGTTTTCTCCGATCATTTTAAATGCAAATTCCTTTTAATCATAATGTTCGGTTCATTATTATATCTACTGAAAGTTGCAATCCAACCAAAATAACCATATTATTTTCGCTCTGCATCTTTCGACGTTTTCTATTGATAATGCATCAAGAAAATCTCTTTAAATTATACATATTTGCACGTCTCGATGTCTATGTCATCTTTTCTCGATGAAATTCCAATGAAATTAAAGATTGTTTTCTCCGATCCTTTTAAACGCGAATTCCTTTAATCATAATGTTCGGTTCATTATTATATCTATCGAAAGTTGCAGTCCAACGAAAATAACCATATTATTTTTGATGTACATCCTTTGATGTTTTCATTGATAACTCGTCAAGAATATCTCTTTAAATTACCTATCGTAGGTCTCAATATCTTCTTTTCTCGATGAAAATAAAAGATTTTTTTTTTCTCCAATCATTTCTATAGATGAATAAATGAGTTTAACCTAGCCAAGCATGATAAAATTTCAGTTTGTAATCATAGACAGACCTAATCCCCATTATTACAGAAGTCAAGGTACCATGTATATTTCCATTAAATTGCATTATCAGCCTTCAGGCATCATGCTTTGCCCCCCTACCATGAGACACCATTAAACAACTAAATTTAATTAACTAAGCAGCAAAAAATGAGGGAGGCATGTTTATCCAATAAAAAGGAAGATAATTAGGAGGAAATAATGTGTGTTTGGTGCAAGGTAATTTGGGTCACAATCTTCTTTATTCGCGTGGTCACAATGAAACTTTTACATTATGTCCTTTAAATTATTAGAGTTTTCCCAATAGTTTCTTGAATCAGACATCCTCATAAGAGGAACCAATTGCTTTGGACTTTTGCAAGTGATATCTGTGGTTTTGAATCTAGTTTGCAGATTTAACACGATTACAAATAGTACTTGACTCGTTATCAAATTGTTTTTATGTGTCGTGTGATAGTTTTTCGAAGAAAACTTTTGAAAAAATTGACAAATGAGGTCGTTATACTTTTGAAAAAATTGACAAATGAGTTCGTTATAGACCCTTAATATGGATATTAAGAATCGTTAGTTGAAATGTATTTGTTATCGATTATGTTATTTTTTTGTCCGTTCTGTTTTTACATTATTCGGATATCTTTTTCTCTATTGGTTGAAGAGAAGTCGTGAAATTTCTATATTTTAAATTTTTTTTTAAAATAGTCCATAGTAGTGGTGGATATGAGTGTTTTCACAAAATCAGCACTTCTATGCGCATGAAAATCTAGAGAAGTAAAGTTGTGGACTATAGAGGTCTTTTGGGTCCTATCTATATATAGGAGACAATAGCCATTTGGCTAAATAATTGATATTTTACTTTCTCAATTATATTATTGATGGTGAATGAATAGATCATACTTTTTTGTCAAATTACCAACATAATAGGAATTTAACAAATTTTATTATGTTCTTTAGTTGATATTTAAAGTACTGATTTGAAGCAATCTGCTATCACTAGATTACAATTATTCACTCCGAACAAAATTTTTATGACGATCAATGACACTGACTATACGATTGGCTAAAAATTCTATTATAAACACTTCTGAGTAAAACCCACGCATAGAATTGGTTTGAAAGGATTGAGTGCAAGTATAAACTTACAAATTGGATCTTCTATAAGCGGATTGGAATTCAAAAGTACGTTATCGATTCAATTCACCACCTTCAAAATCACTGTTCACGGTTGCCCTCTTTTTTCCGTTGCCCGACTTCACGGATCATACTAATGTATGTAAGTCTCATCTTCAAGTAGTCATTCCCACCATTAATTCACCTTTAAAATCAGCTTGTAAAGATAGTGTTCAAAACTTTAACCTTATTGGGTTGACTGCCTTCCACTGTTAGTTATCAACCTCCCCTGTGTACCGAAATTGGTACTTTACATGATAGAACTACTTGTACGAAAGAAGGGTACATAACTTCTATTCGAGCAGTTTATATACCTACAAACGATTTGACCGACTCTGCTCTTGCTATGACATTTGTACATTTAGATGTTATTACTGTACTATCAAGAGAATTAGTTGCCAAGAGATCTATCAAACGAAGTAAATTAGAGCGACACAGGGGAGTGACATGGATTTCATCACCATAATTTATGGGTCTGTTACTAGTTATGAATATGGACAGTTGAAAATTGATGAAAACCACAATGAATGCATACAGAGAGGGCTCTAAAGTCAAAATAGTGACACAACACATTTCAATTGGTTTCATAAAATCCCAACTTTTTTCTGTTTTTTCAGAAGAAAAATGATATTCATCCACAGTGGGGATGCATTCCCAGTCTATGTGTATGTAAATGATTGATTAAATGATAGATGAAATTAAATGACTTATCTAATTTCACGTATCATTTAATGCCACATTAACACCTCATAAACTGTGGATGCATCCTCACTGGGGATGAATAGCATTTCCCTTTTAAGAAACGGTTCGGATTTG